AGTCTCACAATCTCTCCTGCCCGGGCTGGCTTTGAACCGTGATCCTCAGATCTCAGCCTCCTGAGTAGCTAGGATTACAGGCGTGAGCCACCAGCACCCGGCTACCTTTGGTGCTTTTATCTTACTGTCTCAAGCCTACTCAGATGTTTGGAAGTAATAGTCCAAGCTGTACCTTTTTGTGACATTTTCATTTTAAAAGTTCACCTGTCCTGTATCTTGATTGAGAGAGAGAGAGATCTTTTATTATACATTCCCTTTTATTTTTTCCTAATCCTCCCTAAATGTCCAAATCTATTCCCCAAGTTATTTTCCCCCAAATAAAATAAATAATTCCTATATAATCTGCTTATAACAAAACAGAAAACTGTTTTCTTAATGAAAGCCTAGTCCACATATTAAACATTTTACACCTTGTGGATGAAGTGTAATATTTAAAGGAAGACAGTTTGGTAAGCATTACATATGAAAACAGCAACATACAAGTCCTTCAACATGCATTTCCACTTATCACATTAAGTCTCCAGCATCTTGGCCAATGTACAAAATTGCCTCTTTAACAATGTTTTGTGGCTGTAAAGATTGGAATCGAATGTATTTTAGTCAAGTATTGGTTAAACTGTGAAACAGTATTAAAAGGAGGATTGGAACTGTTGAATTAAGAAAGTTACAATCAAGAAAGTACTAATATGGAGCATAGGATGTGAAATTAAGTGAAAAGACAGAGATGTGAAAAGACAGAGATATAAAAGAATGAGATCGGAATGCCATTATTCTTGTGAAGACTAATACATCATAGTTAAAAGATAATGGTATGTTTACAAAGATGTGAAGACATGGCTGAAATGGGTTTCCTTTTTGTTGAGGGCATTTGCATAGCCTGGGGAAAAGGTAAAGAAGGAGATTCTTTTGCCATGTGCCATTTTGTGTCTTCTAGATTTTGAAGTGTCTAAATATATTGTGCTTAAAGCAATGGAAGATGTTTCCAAAATTCTATGAAGGTAAAAGTATTTTGTTAAAGATACCTATCTTGGGGGCTGGAGATGTAACTGGCAAGTGCTGAATTCAGTTCCTGAGTTCAAACCACAGTACTGAAAAAAAAAATCTTAGCCTTCTTATAGTATCAATTAAATATCAAAATAAAAATCTACTCTTTGTTTATAGTAAGAACAAAACAAGGAAATATTTGGCCTTTTTGTATTGGTGTTTTACTGTTGAAGCTTGTTGAGTTCTCATTCCCCAGCCTCATCAATCTTTCATTAAAGGTTCTCACTAGGAGGCAGAAGGTTTTAGGAAGAGCATTTTGTATTTCCTTTTGTTCATGTACTTGCATGACAAAGTATCTATATGTGTGATATAGAAAGAAGTAATTTGAAAACTATTTATTTGATTTCACTTTTAAGGATTTGGGGTAGTATACCAAAATGCTAAAAGTGTAATGATAGTCTTATTTTTTCTTTTTAGATATTAAACATCGGAGAATTCCAATCTTATTCTTTGCAAACAAAATGGACCTCAGAGATGCGGTGACATCTGTAAAAGTGTCTCAATTACTGTGTTTAGAGAACATCAAAGATAAACCATGGCATATTTGGTAAAGTTTTATGTTTACTTTTTTCATTTTCTCTCTCAGTATCAGTGTCCAAGATTCAGGGTTTGTTCTTGATTTTGCTTTTTTATTTTGTTTTTCTTAGTTTTTTAACCTGAACTTATTTTATAAGTGCCCAAACAGGATAAGAGATAAGCTAAGGATTTTGTTTTAGAGAATTATGGAAATATTCATGAATATAGATCTATGCAAACATTTTTAAATTGTTTTGATATAGTAGAATACTATGAACCACCCACTTATTTTCCCAGCTTCAATAACAATGACTTTCTTGTGTACATCAATTCAGCTAAACACAATCCTTCTCTTGCCTTTTCCATTCTTATGACCCCTTTCCTGAATCATTCTCCAACATAATTGTCCTGGCTTGCAATTGTACTTCCTTCAGAACTGTCATTATTACCCTGTGGCTTGTTTTGTTTATAGTCCATCTTTCTTACACTAGCTTGTTAGCTGCTGGAGAGTTGAGATTTCATCATGCTTTTTGTTTGGTTTAACTTCTGTAACTCCTATTATAGAGAAAGCATCTCATACATAATAAGTATATCATAACTATTTGTCATCATGAGACTATAGAAATATTGATTTGATTATGTCTAATGAGGTTGAAATTTAAGTAGTGTCTGAAATTACATGTTTTTGTTACATTTAACTCCAGTGTGCCTTTCTACCAAAATATATCAACAAGGATAACTAGAAAGTAAATGATAGAGAGTAGGACCCCAGTGGCTCATGCCTATCTATAATCATAGCTATTTTGGAGGCTGAGATCTGAGGATCATGGTCAAAGCCAGCCATGATAGTTGAGTCCATTAACCAACAAAAGGTGGAAAGTGGAGCTAGAGTTCAAGTGATAGAACACTAGCACTACCAAGCTAAGCTAGAATGCAGGGCCTTGAATTCAAGCCCCAGTCCTGGCACCCTAGCCCCAAAATAAGAGGAATTATAATTTTAGATACTTTTAGGTAGTACTTGTCTTGTGAGGCTCCCTTCTACTCACCACTCACCTACCTCTATTACTGTAAGGTCTGCTTCTCTTTAATAGTGTTACAAATAAATTAAGAGTTACAAATAAATTAAGGGGAAAGAGTGGACACAGAAGCAAGAAATTTACTGCCTCTAGATATGGAACTAGAAAATAAAGCAGGAAACTAAAGCTCAGAAAAGATCTTTAAGAGCTGGCCTTGGTGCTGAATAGAATAGTCCTTGAAGAACCTTGAAACTTCCAAGTACTTGATGCCTCCAACATCTCTTCTCAGGAGGGAAGCATTGTCTGTCTTGAGTAAAACCTACTTCCCTTTGGGATTGAAGGAAAAGCTAGTGCTTAGAAATGATTCTTTGATTGGAATTTCAAATAGGAATTTAGATAAACATACTTAAATTGACTGCCTATAAAGTAATTTTGAATTTTATTAAGTATTTGGTAGAAAGCACAACTTTGGTAGAAAGTACAATATTTGAAAACATTGAATAGATCTTGTTTTTTGATCCAATCTGCTTTCCTTCTTCCTTTGATTGGGGAATTGAGTCCATTAATGTTTAGGGTTATTATAGAAAGATAGGTCATGTTTCCTGCCATTTTTTTTGCCAGGAACAGAAGCCCATACTGGTGGGTCAGGATGATTTGGGAGGAAATTGTAGAAAATGAAGTCACTAATAAATAACTCAGAGCCCTGGAACACACAACATCATAAGACATGGACTTTTGCTTTTTCTGTTCTTATAAGTCTTATAATTTATTTGAGAACAAAAGCAAAATTTGGAAGATTCTAGGGAATGGTAGAGTGCCACCCTCCAGCAGTGGGAAAGAATTTCTTCATTGTGTTCCTTGTTTGGGACTGTGTGTGTAATAAAATCAATATATTAGGTACTAATACTTTTTATTACTGTATATGATTACTAGAGATGATAAACATTTGTGCTTCTCATATTGTTTCTGTCTTCCTATTTTAAAGTAATTATGAGCCTTTTTAAAATTTAATAAGTAATAACTTGACTTTCAGTGCATTGGGGTTGTTGGTCTGAGACAGCCACATGGCCCAGGCAGGTGGATGCTTCCCGAGCTGCATCATCTAGGGATGTTCTGGGAGTGGTGGAATCCTGGCCTGTCCCTGTATTGACCACCCCACTGTGGAAGCTCCCTTCTGCTTCTGCTCCTTGAGCCGCTGCTGGAGCCCACTGTTGGCTCTTGTCTTCAGAGGCCAGGGGGCCTCTTCCTTGATCTACATGGGGGCTCTGGCTGCTGCTCCTTTCACTGGTGTCCAAATCCCATTTCCTGACTTTTGAATTTCCTTGGGGAGGGCCGGGGGGAGGCTAAATGAACTGTCTTGAGGAGTCTCCAATAAAGAGGACTGGGTGGTTAATGATCTTTTTAGAGGATGCTAGTTGCCTAGGTGGAGTAGGACTTGTTTTTGCATGAGTGGAGGACTTCTGGAGCCTGCTGAAATCATGACCTGAACAACAGAAGCAGGATACTTAAGACCAAGAGCCAGCTCCCTGAGCTTCCCCACACCCAGCCAGCATGGTGTGGGAAGAAGGACACTGGAGAGTCTAACAACAGAAATTTTTCAAGATTGTATGACTAGATAGAGAAACTGCTTAGTAATTGTGTCCAGTGAGTAGGAGCCTGGAGATTCTGCCTGTGCTTTCTCTCCAGCACTATGAACTATGTAATGATGTACACCACAACAGTTTTGAGAATCTGATCAATAAAATGTGGCATAGGGTCCCACTCAGGATAAGATGGAAGTTCATGGCTACCCTAACTCTGGGCTTACTATAAAACTTTAGTTTATCTAGAATAAACTCTGCAAAGTTATCATTTATATTGGACATCAAGAGTGTCCCATGTTCTACCATTACTTTTTTTTTTTTTGTCTTTTCTTCTTTGATACCAAGGATCAAACCCAGCTTGGCCAGCACCTTGCCACTGAGCTATATCCCAGCCCATACCATGACTTTTTTACTAACATTTAATAGTTGTCCATACCCCTGGATGACCCCTACTTGAGCTGATCGTGCCGAAAATTACTTCAGAAGAACTAGTATGTCTCTGTGAGGACCTCAAGGAAGAGCTGCAGGACTGCAGGCTGTGCTCAGGCTTGAGACAGATGATTTACTAAGTAACCTGTTAAAAAGTCCTAACTCAGCCAAATTTTAGAAGCAGCCTATTCCTATGCTTGATGCAAGGATTATGTCTGTCCTCTATTTTACTCCAGCATACCAAGTCTAAATCATCAACCCCACAGAAACTCCTCAACCAACAAGTAAAAACATGTTACCGTGAGCCCCAAAAGAGATGCCCAGATTCCTCCAGTTGAGAGTAGCCGTTGGCTTCCAGTCTGTCAGGGCCAAATCTGCTGTTCACAAAGTTAATTACACAGGCCTGCCTCTATTATCAGGTGTTCAGACACCCTCAGTAGCCAGTTAATCAAAGGCAGAGGTATTGGTCATCTGGCTGCCACGAAATCTTCAGCAGCCAAAGAGACTCACCCAGGCAAAGGCAAAGAGTTCTCGCCAAGATTGTGACATTTGACTTGAGTTCCTCCATTCCCCCAAGCTACTGAACTTCCTTCTACTAGGCATAAGTTGACAGCAAAAGACACTTAATTTCTCCAAGCCACCTCAAACACCAAGAAGGTGCATAAAAGAAACACTTGCCTATTCATGGACAATTATGCCAAATTGAAAATTAGGCTTAATTCTGGAACCAAAAAAAAAAAAAAAAAACCAGATCAGGGCATCCTGAATACCTAGCACCTCAAATACACAAATACTGGAAGGACAAGGTTTTGGTTTTGTTTTTTGTTGTTTTTTTTTTTAATACCCTATTAAGCAAAAAACACTGAGCTCTCAGACTTGCGGGGAAAGTTGTAGGAAATACCACCACAAAGGCTAGTTCATCACTGGACGATGTTAGGTAGGTCATCCTCAAAGATCACTAAAAGGTTAAGATTTGACCTGAGCCCCAGCAGAGGACCCAGCCACTGAACACCTGGTTGATAGGGATGCAGCAAAGGAGCTTAAATGCTGCAAGGCTGCTTCTCCCACCACTATTGTACATAAAAGCTCAAACCTCCAAAAAGCAAAGGGAAGAAGCACTAGATCCTAGGCTACCAAAGCTACTTTAGGGCCAACATCATACTACATGCTGAAAAACTAAAACCATTTCCTCTAAAATCAGGAGCAAAGCAAGGATGTCCACTGTTTCTACTCCTTTTCAATATAATACTGGAACTCCTAGCCAGAGCAATAAGGCAAGAGAAAGACAAAAAAGGGATCTATACAAGGAAAGAAGTCAAATTATCCCTATTTACAGATGACATCGTGTTACATCTAAAGGATCTGAGAGACTCCATCCCCTAGCTCCTAGAGCTGATCAATAACTTTGGCAGAATAGCAGGATACAGAATTAGCCCACAAAAGCTTTTCTGTATACCAACAATGTACAATCAGATAGGAAAATCAGGAAACGATTCTACTCAGGAAAACGATTCTACTTGCAATAGCCTCAAAAAATTAGGGATAAACCTAACAAAAGATATAAAAGCCCTCTATAATGAAAACTATAAAAATCTGAAGAAATTGAAAGGGACATCAGGAAATAATGAATAGACCTCCCATGTTCATGGATAGGTGAGTTAATGTGAAAATGGCCAACTTGCCAAAAGCGATCTACAAGTTCAACACAATCCCCATTCAAATCCCAATTAAATTCTTCACCAAGATAAGAGAAAACAATCCAAAATAATATGGAATGACAAAAGTCTGCGAATAGCTAAATCAATTCTAGGCAAAAAAAAAAGTGCTGATGATATCACAATCCCAGACCTCAAACTACTACAGAGCTATAATAATTAAAAATTAAAAACAAATTAATCAAACTTGGTGGTAGCACAAAAATAGGGCTGAAGATCAGTGGAACAGACTAGATGACCCAGAAGTAAAGCCATATTCTTACAGTTATGTGATATTTGACAAGGGAACCAAAAATATACAGTGGAAAAAAAGTAGCCACTTCAGTAACTGGTGTTGAGAAAACTGGAAATTCATATGTAAAACTGGGTCCCTGTTTGCACCATGTACCAGTATCAACTCAAAGCCAGACCTGAAACTTTGAACCTGTTGTCAGATAGATTAGGAGAAACATTAGAAGTTGTAGGCAAAGGCAGGAACTTTTTGAAGAGTCCCAAGAGCATATATGAGAAAACTGACAAATGGAATTACATCAAAGTTTCATCACAGGAAAGATCATAGTTACTAAACTAGAAAGACCACCAACAGACTGGGAGAAGATCTTTACCAGCAATACACCTGACAAATTTTTAATACCTAAAACACACAGGAGCTTAAGAAATTACCCCTCCTTCCAAAAAATAAAAGCTAATAAGCCATTAAACAAATAAGCAGCAGAGCTAAAGAGAGGCTTCTCAGTAGAAGTAACAATGGCAAACATGAGGAAATGCTCATCATCCCTAACTAGGAAATACAAATCAAACAACATTGAAATTACATTTCACCCCAATTATGTTAGCCAATATTGAGAATTCAAAGAACAACAAAAGCTGATGAGGATATGGGGACAAAGGAACTCTATTGAAATGTTGGTGGGAATTAAACGAGTATAACCATTGGATGGAGGTTTGGAGGTTCCTCAAGGTTCTACTCTTGGACATCTACTGAGGATATTACATTACATTATATCCTACATGTCAGGATACAGGAAAGATTTTTCACGTCCATGTTTATGGCTACACTACTCACAATAGCCAGTTATGGAAACAACTCAGATACCCCACAATAGATGAATGGATCAAAAGACATATACATATACAAAAGGCATAGTACATATACACTATGGAATTTTGCTTATTCATTAGAAAGAATAATATTATGTCATTTGCAGGGAATGGGGTGGACCTAAAACAAATCCTGTTACATGAGGATACCAAGCTCAGAGAGTCAAATGGCATGTTTCCTCTCACATGTGGAAACTAGCTCAAAAGTATAGCTGAACTGATAACTTATACAGCACTCTAGGCATTCACATACAGACTAAAGGAGGCTATTCTTAGGGAAGGAACCCAAAGGCTTAACTCCTCTGAACATCCAAGATACTATGTATTCAAATGAATTCCAGAAAAAGAAAACCTGCTTTGTTATTGATGTTGGTATTGTTTGTTTTTTTTTGTTTTGTTTTGTCTTTTTAGGGGAGCAGATGGGAAGTGTAGCAGTGGAGGGAGGAAAGGTAAACAAATGCAGTCATGGTATTCATATACAATATGGAAAATGAGCTATGCAACTTGTGAGCTAGGATGGATGGGAAGAGAAAACAGGAAAAACAAAGGAAGGGATGACATTTTCCAAGAAGAATTGCATTAGTTACCTAATTTATGGAATTGTAACCCTTGCATGCAATACCTTAATAACAATAAAATTATAAATAAGTTGGTGGCAATTTTTTATAAGAAGCAGATTAATTTTTAAGTATTTTAAGCACTATATTTTATATACTGAGTACTCAGAATGAACCCTACTCATTCAGAAGTTGTAATTATCCATTAATTATATAATCATATTTTTAAAAATCAGTATTTTATGAAAAACTATCAATCTATGCATATCAAAAAGATTATTTGATATTCTACTACTAACTAGTATTATTTCGGTTTCTATTACTTAAATATAAAATATTACAATTAAGATGTAAGTTAGTTAAGGTGACTATTTTAGATGTTGTGCATATATACTTCAAATATTTAGTTCCCACAATAACAATATGAGGTCAATGGTAACATTTCCTCATAATACGGATGCTGAAACTAATGAATAGCTAATTAGCCAGTTCTTACAGCTAATAAATATAAAACTATGATTGAAATCTCTTGGGTTCTTACTTCCACCATTTTGTGAATTTTATAATTATGGATTTATACACTGTACCATCAAATTCCTTTCAAGTAACATTCTTCTATCCAATGGCTGTGTTTCTAAAAGATAAGTACTATAGAATCACTGGTACTGAGTGAAATAGGGTAGTGGGCTTAGGGAAACTTTTCCACCATGGGAGGAATATACACGTTGTTAATACTATTCCTTGAATAACCTTAGTGATAGACTTCTCAAAATGTCTCTATGAATTATGACAGTTTTTCTCATCTTTTGTTCCTGAATCCTGACACTTTTATATTCTTTGTATATTCAAATTCAGTACTTTACCAGTTCGGCTCAAATATATGTTACTAGACCATAATTGATTTACCATGTGGAAAATTACACTTTTTCCTTGCTACAGTTGTATGACATAACGAAATGTATCTTGTTTCAGTGCGAGTGACGCTGTAAAGGGAGAGGGATTGCAAGAAGGCATCGACTGGCTTCAAGGTATGTCACAAAGCACTACACTTTAGTGTTTGTTTCTTTTCCATGCACATATTACCTGTTTTACATTTTGTTTTGTTATATCATTGCTTCTTTTCTTTTGTTTCCACCAATTTTTTGCTGTCAGAAATAACAGTACAGTAAGTATCCTGTACCTTGTCCATTTACTTTATTACATTTTAAAGGACATATTTAAAGTGTTTATATCTTCACAATCAAAATATATGACACATCTGGAAAATAATTTTAACTTATGACACAAAATTTTTACCAAATCTAGTAGCTGAAACACACACTGCACATATACACACAGATATATGCATATATACATGTGTACATCTAGTGTGTCTTTGTCATCCTGTTTATATCACACTAGTTATAGATGGGAACAGGTCTGGTAGATCACTATATCAAGGAATAAATTAAGATGCATAGTTTTTCTTGACGTTACAATGTGTGCTAGCCATAGGAACTGCTTGAAACACAATAGTCAGATGTTAATGAAGCCATTTTTTATATGCCCTTACTATAGAGTCTAGTTGGTCAGGTCAAAACTTTTCAATTTTAAGTAAAATGATTAGTGATCATTTCTATTAGAAATCTCCCCACTCTGATGAAAAGGGTGAATTACAGGGTATAAATTCTAATTATATTCTTGTGGTTATAAATTCTAATTTCTTTTATCATTAGCCTTTTGATACATGGTTTGTGTGACTTTTTTTCCCTCCCTCTCTTCTGCACTCTGTAAAAACCACAGCAGAAATGTATGCTATAGCACATTATGATGGGTGTAAAAGTAGCTTGCCTGCCAAGACCAAGTGTATATTTCATAAACAGTGGGAAATGTAGTGTTCTCATTAATTACAAAGCCTGTCTTATTTTTGTCTCTTGTATTTATGCAGTCAAACACTTAACACTAAACTGTCAAGAATATTCTAGTCTTATTGTTCTCAGTGGCATTTTACTGTGAACTCTCAAACTTAGTTTCTTAGACTGTGGTTAAAAGGTCAAATTTAAGGTTTAGACTCCTATTAGAAACTGATAGTTATAGAGGAAAATTCCAGGGAAGATACCAGAAGCATATTTTTAGCCCTAATTTCTTATCTACAAGGGCCTAAGCTTACCATAGGATAGAAATTGTATTTACTGAAAATAATTTGATAGTCATCTAGATTTTTTCCCTGGTTTTATTTATGTATGCCAGTTAGGCCACTAGGTGTCAGTAACGATCCAATCACAGTACTAATTCCAACTCTTGGTTAGAAATTCTTATTTCTTTTTTGGTCCATTATATGTTTTACCTCACAAGACTTTATAAAAACACATTGTAGGAAACAGTTCTGTTATTGCTATTTTTTACACTGTGTTACCTTCACAACTTCTTCTGCAATAAGTATTACCATTTCTGTTTTCTATAAGCAAACCGGAAATATGTAGCACAATGAACTGGGCTTTGGAATCCATTGTATTTATTACACTACTTATCAATTGATGAGCTTTTCTATTAGTTACAATGTCTTAGTATCTTCTGAGGATAATTTTCTTCATCTGTAAGAATAAAAAATAAATTTTGTAAAGTGTTGTGTAGATTACTGTATTTAAAGTACCTAGCATAGAAAGCAACCAATAAATGTTTAACTTACTCTCTTATGACTATGTAACAGTAACAGAAACTAAGCACATAGGTAGAAAATTGTAAAAATGGATCTTGATTTCAGATAGATGATCCTTTGTTGATAGAAGACCATAGTCTGCATTCTAAGGCTCCCAATTTTTTTTTTTTTTTGGTCCGGTTGTGGGGCCTGAATTCTGGGCCTGAGCACTGTCCCTCAGCCCTTCAGCTCAAGGCTAGTGCTCTACCACTTGAGCCACAGTGCCACTTCCGGCTTTTTTCTTTTTGTTTATGTGGTGCTGAGGAATTGAACCCAGGGCCTCAGGCATGCAAGGCAAGCGCTCTACCACTGAGCCAACTTCCCAGCCCGCCAATATTTTTTTAAAAAAGGGATAAAAAACTACCTTGCAAAATAAATGTAAGAGACTGATGTACATGTTGTTTAACTCATTAGTCAAGAAGTTTATGTAAATCTAACTAAAAGATTTTCTGACCTTATACCTGTTCATTTTGCTTTTAGAATCATGAAATTTCCTAGATGCTAAACAAGAAGACCTCTGGTTTATTTTAAACCAATATAACCTTACTATTTTTCAGTTTAATATTGAAAACTTTCTTGTGAAATATTAAACGGCACATATAATGTCTGTTTCTATTCTATTTTAAAATGAACCCAACAGTCACATATATGTATATATAAATACATATATATGTTTATGTTACATGTATATATGTGTGTGTATATATATATATATGTATATTATATACATATAACTCCAAGACGTCTTAACTAGACCATGAGGTGTTTCTTTTTTTAATCATTAGTGAATATACAGAAGTCATTTTAAAACTTGAAATTTTTCAAGCTCTGAAACTATATTTATCATATTATAGCATGCAAAGTTTGATAATGCCTCCAGATTTTAAATATTTTGTTTGTTTTGTTTTTGTGGTGCTAGGCATCAACTCTAGAGCCTCCATCACACAACCACTTTTCTAAACTCCACCTTTAGCCCTCTTCCAGATTTAAATACTGAATCTTCATATACTATGCATATGGATACTCCATTTAAAAGAGTGTTGAACACATATCCTAATTTTATCCCTTCTTTAAATATCACTAATACAAAAATATTGTGCCTACCTACATTGGCATAAAGAATGAAAATAATGTGATTTCCAACCAAATTTTGGAACCTGGGTATCTGATGGATGCTACCTGACATAACAAGTCTCATAAGGCTGAATCCTAATGGCAGCTACAACACTAAAGGAAGCTAGGACATAGCCTGACTCTGCAGCTGCTGGATCTCAAAGGCTCAGAGAATGGTAGTAATGGAAGAATAACTATGAAGAAAAAGCTGATAAGAGTGGATGATATTTGTACAATCTGCCCCTCCAAGAAGTTTGAAGTCTTAATCTTTGCAAAAAGTCAAACATACGCTCTCTGGTTTGGAAAGTACCAGGCACAACTGAGGTGAAAATGAAGGCTGACTGAAATTTTGTATATGAAACATTTTGATTCTCTTCATTGTTCCACTTATTCCAGAAGACATGAGCAGTAGGCAGAGCATAGGAAGAGTTATCTCTGAGGAGTCAGACTAAGTTAAGAGGAAAATACCTAAAGGTATTACTATTGGAGATTCCCAAAGATATAGCCAGACACACCTAGAATGAGGGCCAAACATGACAGTCATCATATACATTTCCAAATTCTAGTCAATCTTTTTAGTATTTGCTCATGAAAAGATAACAAAAGTCTCTATTTGAGTATAAAAACATGAAATAGGGAAATGTAAGTAACAAGAAAAACAGAAAAGATAAGATTTAACTATTAGAAATTATCCTCAAAGAGATGAGAAGATGACATTTTCATGAACAAAATCAGTTATTACTGAAAATGAACAAGAACAAAAAAGGGCTTTTGGAAATTTAAAGTAGTAAAATGGAAAACAATTTTTAAAAAACGAAAACAGAGCCACTTTCCCTAAAAGTAGAAAAGAGGGACATAGGAAGTTGGAATGAAAAGAAGGTATGGATCTGATTAAGAAAGTCAAGATAGCCAGAGAAAACAGAGGGTAGCAAATCATCAAATATTATTAACAAAATTGAATCATTATTCAGTTGAAAGGAATCTTTGAGAGGCTAATGCAGTAGAAGAAAAATTCCCCAAAGCAAGGAATACCATTATTAAACTCAACACAGATGACAATGAAAATTCTACAAGTTTTCTGAGAATACCTACAGTACACTGTGGCTCAAGTGGTAGAGTGCTTAGGGACAGCACCCAAGCACTGAGTTGAAGCTTCAGGACTGGCAATAATAAAAACAAAAGGGAGGAAAGATGAAACAGGGACTGCTATTTTCCATTCATGATTCTTGAATTATCTTCATGTACAACTTTGACTAAAAAAATTAGAGCTCTACTATTGTGCTTTAAAACCAAAACATGTATTCATTGAATTTTGCCGTGTCACATTTGATTTGTCTTGCTTCAGAAAATAGATTTTGCTTTGCAGAGACTGATAATTGTGTTTTTTGTTTATCAGATCAGATCCAGGCTGTGAAGACGTGAAAAGATAGTCTTTGGAAACTTCAACAGTTAATTCAAATGATGTAGCTAAGGAAAACAGAATACTTTGATTTTTTTAAATTGTATGTACATTGAAAAATACTTTATAACATTCTGCTTGTCTGTGTGGACTCTGAGTGAGCTATTTAAGATCACAGGGCTTCCTGTTTGCTAATCTGGCCATTAATTTCATGAACACATATATCCCTTCAAAAAGGACTCCCTAGAATTACCAGCTTCTTGGTAATTGATTTAGTTGTAATTAAAATGTTTAAAAGCCAGAGTTATAAGTCATCTTAATATCCTATCATGATTTATAATAGTTTTAATGTATTTTTAATTGTCTGTTTAAAATTTCATTTATAATATGACTTTATAGTGTGAATTGTGCAACAGAACTTAAATATTTATAAGGGACTACGGGTAGTTAATATATTTTAATTTTTTTACTATCTGTCATTATCAATAAAACAAAAAATGCAGCATACCAACTAGTGTGTTTGTTTTGTTCATGCTGAAAATAATAATGCTGTGGTAATATGAATTTTACTGTCAAGCATGTGTAAATGATCCATGGCCAAGTTCAAATGAATTTATCAGTGAATACCAACCATCTCTACACCTCTTAGTCAGGCCTCATCCTAGGCAATGATGTTAGAGATATATAGCTTCATAGAAATTAAAATTTAATGAGAAATACTTTATGAACATTTATGCATGATAAATAATTTTATTTATAGGCTGAAGGAAAGTATTATGCCTTTTCATCTGAGGTATTTATAACTGATGTATTCCTTTTTTTTTCCTTTACAATTCCTCTTTGCTACTGTGGTAAGTGATATGTGATAAGGAAGAAAAGTTTATTGTAAGTCAAATTTTAGAGGTTTCAGTTATGCCCAGCCTATTGTTTTGGGGCCTGTGGCAGAGCAGTCCATCATGGCTAGAACATGTGGTGGAGCCACTCACCTCATAGCAGCTAAGAAGCAGAGGGAAAGAGGAGGTATGAAGGAACTGGCATATTATTGTCCATCCGGGAACACATTTCCAATGACCTAACTTGGACCCACTAAGCTCCAGTTTGTAACAGAGTTTCACAAGAGCCTTCATTTAGCACATGGATTTTTTAGAGTTACATTCTGTTGCTTGTCAGAAGTTGTGTCTAATTCCAGGACTAATCATCATGGAAACTTCTAGCAAATAAGAAAGGGCTCAAGGAATGGTGTAGATATGAAAGCCCTTTAACTTGTCACACAGGATATTTTAAACATGAATAAAGATAGTAATGGATATAATTCATTGAATAAAGTAAGAATTTGTCCTATGGTACAAGTAAGCAAATAAATGGCTAGATAACAGAATACCTACAAATGTAGAAAGAATAAAAAAGCACCATTCATTCTAGAAATATTCAATGATGCTAAAAATAATGATGAAATTATGTCATTGAATAAGAAGATTGCATACTTTTAGACTCCCTTCTTGCAATATAGTTACTATTATAGAAAGAGAAAAATAACAACAGAGAATGCTTGTGGACACCATCTTAATCAAACAATCCAAATTATATCATGGGATATAGTGGGAAATGATATGCCACTCAGCATAGTGAAAAGAAAATAGCATTGCTTTTTTTGATGTTTTTCCAAAATGTATAGCCTAAATCTGACCATATGGAAACACTCAAAAACTCTGGCCTACAACATTAAGTCATGTAAAAATTGAGGAGTTTTTACCAAAATAAAGGAAATTAATAAAGCATAGTAACTAAACATGATACATGCTTCTGGAGTGGAGTGCTTTGCAAAACAAACAAAATAATAATAATGCCAAAATGAATGGGCATGAGGATTAGATAGTACACAGATCAGCATCACTGTTGATTTTGAGAATTGTATCAAGATTTAGGGGGCTAGGAAGGTGGCTTAGTGGAAGAGCACTTGCCTTGCATGCTTGAGGCCCTGGGTTCAATTCCTCAGCACCACGTAAGCAGAAAAAAAAAGCGGGAAGTGGCGTCGTGGCTTAAGTAGTAGAGGCTAGCCTTGAGCTGAAGAGCTGAGGGACATCACCCAGGCCCAGAGTTCAGGCCCCATGACGGGACCCCCCCGCAAAAAAAAGATTATTTAGGATTTTAGGGGAATAGTCCTGCTTGTAAGAGTTATACATCAAGGTTCTCACGTGAAGTGGGAATAAAATACTTTGTCCTACTTTTGCAATATCTCAATGTTTGAAATAAGTTGAAAGTGAATATTATGTTACAAAAAGTATGTGAAATAGCACTGTAGAGTAATTTCATTTTATGCATTATGCAACAATTATAGACCTGATAAATGTTTACAAAAATAGCATGTCTGAAGTAATACCACTTACCAATACCTGAAGATGATGATAATTTTAACCAATATGGGAATTCTTGGAATTCATAGATAATATTAAACTCACAGTATGGTTAATTTTTAGAAAAGATACCTTAATTGTTAATCTGGATCAGTCCAGGTATCTGTGTGGATTTTATGATAACAATATTATCAGCCTGCCATGAATGAATTCCTGGTAGGAGCTTGAGAAAAGAAATTAATATGTGAATACCAAACCCATGTCAATCTGATTCATGTATGCACTTGTTTAAATCCTCAGATATCTGGGCAGTAGTAAAACTTCAAAACATCAGTCTGATTTGCTGGTCTAACCTGTTTCTGGCAGGAACTGACAATTGTAAACTCAAATTATGTAGGTCACATTAAGATCAGTGCAGCAGTTTCTCCACCTGAATGTCTCTCATACCTCTGTATTGTCATTTCCTTTTTAATTATGTAATAATTTAAAACGAGGTCAAGAGAATGCAGCAGAGTTCACTTGGGGGTAGTTTCATATTAACATACCATACCTATGTATATCCTTGTATTACACAATTAAGTAGCACCCATCCTTGCCATATTTCTTCACCAAACCGGACAGCTGAGTATTGTACACAGTGCTGTTAGTCCTTGATAATGCTTTTTGACTAGTGTTGTATTCCTAGTGTATTCCTAGTCCATTTCAATACCATTTTAACTGAGTTAAACCATACAGTTGTGAAATTTCTCACAGCCTGTCCCCGCCATACAGTTGGTCACTTTCCTCTTTCATGCATCGCTTTCCCACAGTTCACGTTTTTCACACTGTCTTAATTTTGTCACAGTTGCTTAGTTATATGTTTCCTTCTCAGACCTAACTTCTTGAGTGTAGATAACAAAAGGATATTCACATCAGTAAACACACTGGTTTGGAAGTATTTAGTAAATGTTTATTAAAGAAAGAGCCAACTTTGGTGAGGTGGGTAGGGGGAAGGAGGAGGGTGGGAGGCGAGGGGTGGGGTGGGGAGGATGGGAAGGGATAGGAAGGGGAAACAAAGGAAGAGGCTACAATGCTTGATAAGAAATGTACTCATTATCTTGCCCATGTAATTGTAACCCTTCTGTACAGTATTTTCACAATAATAAATAAATTTTTAAAAAATTGAAAGAAACAGCTATCTATGAAATAACTTTTTAAGGAAATATTGGGAAGTCATTATTTTGCATATATGTATATATCTTACCAACTTTTCTAGTCCAATTTGATGTAACTGCACTAGAGGAATGAATATTATGTGGCCAATGATCTTTAAATTTTTTATCTAAAGCTTTATTTCAAACATTCTCATTTTGTTTTATTTTTCTAAAAGTTAGAGAAATTCAGAAAATAGTTGTGTTTATTTGTGTTTAACAACATTTACTGTGTTGCTAAGAGTTTTGCCATTCACTATTTGTTAAATTTTAAAGCTTTACCTTACTCTAAAATTGTGTTTCATTTGAACTACAAAACCAAATGTACCTTCTGAATATCCATAAAGGGCTGGAAGAAGTGGAATGAAGCTAGCAGAAGATAAATGAACTTATTTCCATTCCCCTCAAGCTACATGTGGTAGATGCTTTTACAGAGACAGCTTTTATATTGTGGTTTGGTCAGCTGCTTCTTTGATGATATACATGATTGGTCATTTGAAGTAGAGTTCCTGTTGCAACAGAAGATAGAATTTAGACATTAAATTTAAGAATGTCTCTTCATATGAAATCTATCATAATGATATCTTACTTTGATATATGAATAAAAATCTACTGAAGAAAGTTTATGAAAATATTCTTTTTGCTTATTGACTTCACTAAACAGAATGCTTATGAAGTATCTAATTAAACCCCATCATAGCAGAGTCCAGTAGGAACCAACGTCCTCTAGTAAAATAATTAGTATTCTTTCTGTAGCACTCTATTAAATCCATTTGATGTGTAGGGTCATATAATTCAGAATGTTCTTTTTTTATTTTTTTTAGTGTAAAGATGCTGTACAGAAGGATTACAGTTACATAAGTAAGGTTATAAGTACATTTCTTGTCACAGAATGTTCTTTGTTGCTGTTTTATTCTTTTTTGTTGTTGTTGTTGTTGGCATGGGGCTTGAACTCGGAACCTGGATGCTGTCCTTGAGCTTTTTCACTCAAGGCTAGCACTCTACCACTTTGAGCCACAGTGCCACTTCCAGTTTTCTAGTGGTTAGTTGGAAATAAGAATCTCAGGGACTTTTCTGCCCAGGCTGGCTTTGAACTGCGATCCTCACATCAGCCTCCTGAGTAGCTAGAATTATAGACATGACATGAGCCAGCAGTGCCTGATTTTTTTTGGGGGGGAAAGGGGGTCTGTAGGCAGTAGGGTACTAAAGTCACCAGTTATTACCATGTTAGAATGATCTATGCTTTTATATACTGAAGTGTTTGTTTTATGAAATTGGCCTTATTTGTGTGTCTCATTGTAGTTTGAAACCTCACATGAACATCTCTAATCCTCCCTGGTTTTATACTCCATTTGCTTGGAGATTTTAATACCTATGATTAGCAGAGTGAGTCACTACAAGTAAATAAAAGTTCAAAATTGATTTTCAATTTTGTTCGGAATCAGCTAGTACCCAATGGCTCATGCCTGTAATCCTAGTTATTCAGAAGTCTGAGATCTAAGGATCACACTTTGAAGCCAACCTGGGCAGGAAAAGTTTATGAGACTTGTCTCCAATTAACTATCAAAAAAAAAAAAAAAGCCAGAAGTGGAGCTATGGCTCAAGCAGGAGAGCACTAGCCATGAGCAATGAAACTCAAGGCCAGTGCCCCAGGCCCTGATTTCAAGCTCCAGGATTGGCACAAAAAAATCATAATAAATATTTCAGAGGAATTTACCACATTTCTCAGAAACAAAAAACATATCTTCTGTATAATTCTTTCTGTAATAAGGTCCATATGAAATTTTTTGTTATTGAGAGCATTGCTTTGTTTTGCCTTTGTTGTTTCTTTTGAGATAGGGATTCACTATGTGTCTTTGGTTGCCCTCAAATTTGTGACCCTATTTCTTCAGTTTCTTGAGTGCTGGGAATACAGTTTTTAGCCACCATGCCTGGCTTAAATTTTGAGAGAAGTCTTCCTTTT